CTCTTCCACGCCAGCTACTGGGAGTCGACAGATGTAGTCTCCTTCCTGCTGAGACAGGTATCCCCCTCCAGGGGCCCTAAGGGACACTGAGGAGACAGGACAGTGGGGCCAGCGGGGTACAAGCACCTTGCTCGGGGGACATACTGGAATGCAGGATGTGAGGTCAGGAGGGACGTACTTGCAGTCATTGGACAGATGGGAATCTAGACAGTAGCAGGTTAAATGGTGTCCCCAAACCTCACAGGTTCCCCCCTTCTGGTCCCTTGGGCCCCTGGACCTACCCAAAGCAGGCAGGGAACAGGCAGCCCAGCAGGCAGCTGCCCCATGGCCCTCCTCTGCCCCCAGGTCATGAGGCATGACAGCGCCAGCATCTTGGACCTGGATGGCAAGGAGGTGTCAGTGTTTACCCCCTCGCAGCCCAGGGAGAAGTGGCAGCGCAAGAGGACACACGTGAAGCTGCGGGTGAGGGGTCCTTTGGGCTCCTGGGCTGGTGCTTGGTGTCTTCCTTAGTCCCCATAGAAAGCCCCACATTGCAGAGGAGAAAACAAGAGTCTGGAGAAGCAGGATATGGTTTATCCTCAGCGTCTGAGGCTAGGACTCAGAGCCCCATGAGATGTCCTTACCCAAGGCCGGCAGCCAGTGGCTGGGCTGGGCAGGAACAGGGCTGCCTGGTTCCGAGTCCACGCATGCCCCCAGCAGCTCTGGCCTGACCCTGCTCCTCATCCCTAGAACGTGACAGCCAACCACCGGATCAACGATGCAGTTGCCAATGAAGATGGCCCGCAGGTTGTGACTGGCAGGTTCATGTACGGGCCCCTGGACATGGTCACCTTGACTGGAGAGAAGGTGAGGATACAGGGCTTTGGGCTCACAAAACAAGGGGCCTGGTGTAGCCAGTGTTATGACCAGCTCATCTGGCCCCAGGTGGACGTGCACATCATGGTGCAGCCGCCCTCAGGAGAATGGCTCTACCTGGACACGCTGGTGACCAACAGCAGTGGGCGCGTCACCTATACCATCCCCGAGTCACACCGCCTAGGGGTGGGCGTCTACCCCATCAAGATGGTAGTCAGGTGCGCATCTCCTGAGGGTGGGCAGGGCCGGCCTGGGGGATCAGGAGGAGGGGCTCTGGTTGGCCCTGACCGCTGTCCCCACTGGCCAGGGGAGACCACACATTTGCGGACAGCTACATCACTGTGCTGCCCAAGGGCACGGAGTTCGTAGTCTTCAGCATTGATGGCTCCTTTGCTGCCAGCGTGTCCATCATGGGCAGCGACCCCAAGGTGCGGGCTGGGGCAGTGGACGTGGTGCGGTGAGTAACCCTGAGGAGCACAGTGCAACCAACTGTCAAAAGGTGGGCAGACTCCATGGCAGGAGGCATTGGCAGCCGGGTGAGGGGACCTGGTACTGCCAGGAGGGGCATACCTCATGCTTGGGCCTGAAGGACACAAGTCCAAGCCCGGGACCTTCACTGGTCACCACATGACCCTGGCAGCTCCGGGAGCTGCTAGCGGCAGCCCTCTGCAGGGGTACCTGAGAGGATGACACTGTGGATACAGGCAGGCAAGTGCCTTGTGATCCTTGTCCCCTTTGTCATCTGAACCTGAATAAAGGTACACTCTACTGAGGCTGGGCAGGGGAAGGGGGGTAGGGTGGGGCAGCTGTACAATACCAAGCCCACCTTGCCCCCAGGCACTGGCAGGACCTGGGCTACCTCATCATCTATGTGACGGGCCGGCCGGACATGCAGAAGCAGCGGGTGGTGGCGTGGCTGGCCCAGCACAACTTCCCTCACGGTGTGGTGTCTTTCTGTGATGGCCTGGTGCATGACCCACTGCGGCACAAGGCCAACTTCCTGAAGCTGCTCATCTCTGAGGTGGGGCAGTGTTGGATGGCATGGGCCGAGGGGGAGGGGAGCAGAGGGCAGAGGCCAACCCCACACCCACACCCATGCCCATCTCGCCCCAGCTGCACCTGCGCGTGCACGCGGCCTATGGCTCCACAAAGGATGTGGCAGTGTACAGTGCCATCAGCCTGTCCCCCATGCAAATCTACATAGTGGGCCGGCCCACCAAGAAGCTGCAGCAGCAGTGCCAGGTGAGAGGGTAGCAGCCCCAGGCAACATGGGCCAGAACAAGTCAGGGCTCCAGCCCGCTGACCTCCCATCCCACACTGCCTCTGCAGTTCATCACAGATGGCTACGCAGCCCACCTGGCCCAGCTCAAGTACAACCACCGGGCACGGCCAGCCCGCAACACGGCCACCCGCATGGCACTGCGCAAAGGCAGCTTCGGCCTCCCCAGCCAGGGAGACTTCCTTCGCTCACGGAACCACCTGCTTCGCACCATCTCAGCCCAGCCCAGCGGGCCTGGCCACCGGCATGAGCGGACGCAGAACCAGGCAGAGGGCGAGCAGCGGGGCCAGCGCAGCATGAGCGTGGCGGCCAGCTGCTGGGGCCGCGCCATAAGCGGCCGCCTTGAGCCGGGGGCGGCCACAGGCCCCAAGTAAGGCCGTGATGGGCGCGGTGGTCTCCATGGTGCTAGGCCAGGGCACCACCCTATCAGAAGGCCTCACCTGAGCACAAGTAGGCGGCTGGGGACAAGCATTGACATCCTGGGAAACTGTCCTGGGGCCCCCTCTGAAGACACAGGCATGCCAGCCAGTGCTCCTAGCCCCACCCTACCCTAGGGTCTGAGGGTCCAGCTTATCGTGGAACCTGGCAGGACAACAGTGTAGGGTGGCAGAGGGGCCAGGGTGCTCTACCTGGCCTGGCCAGGAGGCCCTGCTGGACGGTGTCCCTGAACTGATCTCCAGCTGCCTGGTGCAGGTGTAGCCCTGGCCCGGCCTGCCCCCTCTCTGGCCCACCCCACACCCCCTCTCATCTGGTAGCAGCTCCAACAGGGGTCCAGCCTGCTTCTTGTTGACTCAAGTTTCTCAACTGTTCAACCTCACTGGTTTTGCACTGATTTTTGAGAGTGGAGACACATGTCCATCTCCTGTGGCTACAGACTCGGTGACGTGCATGAAATTCAATGTTGCTGATGCAGGACCTCTTTACCACACAGAAGGTTCCGGTGTGGCAAACCCTCATCGAAGCAGGAGAGCAAGGCCATATTTTAGTTTCTGCCACCCTGCCTGGCCTGCCAGCACACAGCAGGCTCAGGCCCCTGCCCACCCGTCTACCTGTCCTACCTGGAGCCCAGTCCAGCCACAGGCCTGGTGTCATCTTTGGCCCAGAGGAGCACAGCCCAGATGTGAGGCCAGTGACACCCAGTGCCAGCTCCCAAAACCCTGGGGCTTGGGGTCCAGACAGGCCTGGCCGCCTCCTGCTCCTTACCTGCCACTGGTCAAGGCCCATGCCATGGCCCACCTGCCCGCCTGCCCGCGTTTCTACGCCTTTCTACTTCTCAATCTGATTTCTATGAGGTTTTTTTAACTGAGCAATCCTTGGCTGCTTCCTTTTCTTAACTTAGTACCAAGCGCAGCCCCTCCATATTTTAAACACCCAGCACTGTGACGGAGTCCAGCCTGGTTCTGGGTCCCACGGGCCCTGCCCCAGCCCACTAGGCAGGGTGTGGTCTCCCTGCCTCACCTGACCCCTGCCAATTCCACTGAATTTCTACTGGGGGGAGGGGCGCACACTTAGTTTTTTTAATGCCAATTCCGTTGGATGCAAATCTAAGAAGCCACAGCCCGCTTCATTAGCTTAAGGGCAGGCAGCCACGACTCCCTTTCTCACGTGGACAGGGATGTGCCATCCTGCACACCAGGCCCTGGCCAACTGTCATGTGACCAGGCGCAGTCCCCCAAGAAGTTGCCATACTGAAGCGACCGAGGGGCTGCGTGTGCTGGTGGGGAGGCGCACAGCTGAGGGCAACTTTTCTGTGTGTAGATATGTACAGCCAAAGGCCCATGTAAATGTTCTGCAAAAGTGGGCCTATACAGAGGGAAAGCTATTTATTTTGTGTAGAGCAGAGTGTCTGGAGGGACGTAACCTTCAGGGTTTATTCATATTTAAGATGTAGCTTTTGCTGTTGTTTCAGGCATTATGTATAAAGCAATGATCGTTTTATGGACCAAGCTCCCTGGTAACTGTTGCAGTGAACGTGCAATATCTGACCCCTCCCCCGCGAGCAGGACCTGGCTGGCCTGACAATCACAGCCCTGGCCAGGGGCTTCCGCAGCCAGTGCCACCTCCTCTGTTGGCCCTGCCTCGCCCCGTCTTGCCTCCACCTTGGTGACCAGCCATCTGGAGAAGCTCCTGGAAGCCTAAGCAGGCCTGCAATAAAGGCTGGAGGTCCGGTCTTGGGCAGCCAATGGGCAGTGGGCCAGCCTCTTCCTGGGGGCAGCCCCATGGCTCCTCCTCTCCCACCCGCCCAGCCGCCAGCCATGCCAAGGACAACAGCAATAGTCCCCTGGGCCTCTCCCAGGGCCCTCAGCCATAGTTGGTGAGACGGCAGCCTCCCCTCCCCTCTAAGTCTCCTCCTCTCTGTCCAGGTCTGCTTTCCACCTCCCCTCAGATTCCTTTCGGCACATTCTCCTCCTGTGGAAGCACCAGTTTCCAGAAACTAAGAGGGAGGGCAGAGTCCTTTAAAAATACCAAAAATGTTTACAGTGTCGGGTGCTGAGCTGTAGGGCTCAGGCCTGACCAGTCGTAACCAAAGGGTGAGGCAGGCCTTGCTGACTGCCACCCCACCCAGGCCTGTTCAGGATAGAAGCCTTAGTCCCTCCCACCCGCCCGCCCCTGCGCACCTGCCTTCTCATTTCTAAAGACGGATTTACAGAGCCCCTGCCCCACGGCCCACCACCAGTCTTCACATCTCAGCCCCTCCCGTCTGTCCTTGTGCTATCTGTCTCTGGGCCACATGTGAGCAGTGTCCTGACTGTCCCTGCCCCCTACGTGCTGTCCCTGCGCCATCGGCCTGAGTGTGCTCTGTATTCAGCATCACTGTCTGTTACACTGATTAAAGAAGCAGGAAGGCTTCCTTCTGGTCTCTTTATTGTGGGGCAACATTGGGTGGGGGGCATTCTTCCCAGTCACCAAGGCACTGTATTACACACAGGGGCCAGGACACTAGAGCGCTGACTCTGTCCCTCCCAGGCAAGGCCCAGTGAGGTGGCATTGCTGGCCTCTCTGCTTTACAGGAGACACAGCCAGTACATGGGAGCCCTAGTGCCTGGCCCAGGCTCCTATGTGCATGACTTGTGCCACCTTTGGGACGTGATCAGGTCTGGGCCCAGCACGTGGCAGGCAGAGGGGGAGGGCTGGCCTTAGCAACCCAACAGACATCATGGCTTTCCCTAAGTTGGGAGCTCATTTCTCCCTGAAGGTGTGCAGTGCCCTCCTTGACCCTCAGCACAAATGCAGCAACAAAATGGAGTTGGTCTGTAACCAAACAATGTTTAATACCGGGCCAGGTGTTCTTCCAGATGTGGGCACCAGGGAGGCCAGGGGCCCCACCACAGGCCACCAGCTCACTGACCCGCCTGAGGTCATCTCCAGGCCACAGCCGGGGAGCCTCAGGGAAGCAGCCCAGCTCGCATCTGGAATGCCAAACCATCTCCGCAGGTGGCTTGCTGACAAGAGAAACACAAGGGCCAGGGATCAAAAATAGCCAAGTGGGCCGGGGCAAAGGAGCAACACCAACCTTATTGATCTCTCTGTGGCGTTCTTTGGTTACAATTTCCTCCAGGACCTCTCCATCTCCCTTAATGAGCCTGTGGATAGAGGTTCCATTCAGTATGGCACGGGAGGCACCCAGACCCGGAACCACCTATCAGTGGGCTCCCCGCACACAGGTCCCGAGTGGAGGGAGCCCAGGCGCTGTCTCCTCACACCCAGCCTCAGAACAGGGCCTCAGCCAGGCAAACAGCAGCCACCTGAACCTCTAAGGCCTTTCCAGCCCCCACAGCCACATGAGCTGGGTGCTGAAAACAAGCAGCGAGCGGTCACATCCACCACCCGCACACTGCGCCTACCTGGAGCAACTGCACCTCTACCACTCCCGAAAATACAAGCCCAGGACCAAGTCTCCCAGAGCACTGTGGCTGGGCTGCGGGGAGCGCTCCCCACCTGGTGCGCCCCGTCTCGGGGTCCAGCACCCTGCGGATGACACTCTGCCGGGCATCCCACTCCTCCTTGGTCATGGGCTTCATGGCCTGGACGCGGGACTTCTGCTCATCTGTTAGGACTGGAAGGGAAGGCACGAGTCAGTGCTGGCAACCCGTGCTGGCCAGATCTTCTCCTGTGCTCTGCGCCACCGCACCTGGGCCAGCATCTTCCTCCCGGGCCGATTTGTGCCACTGGTCCAGGGAGGGGCCAGGCAGAGCCTCAGCCTGCTGCAGGACTGTCTTCTCCTTGCCCTTCTTCAATTTCTTTCTTTTCTTCTTCTTCTTCTTCTTCTTCTTCTTCCTCTTGTTCTTGTGCTTCCCCCGCTTTTTCCGGGCATCACTGGAGGAAGAGGAGGAGGACGAGGAAGAAGGAGAGGAGCTAGAAGAACTGGAAGAAGAGGAGGAGGAGCTGGATCGTGGTCTCCTCCGGGCTTTGTGCTTGCTTCTCTCTGTGATGCAGGAGAAGGTGAGGCTAGAAGGCCGGGAGGGCAAGAAGTAAACCTTTGTCCCCTTACTCTGGTCTGGGGCAGACAGGCCTGCACGGCCTGAGTCTCAGAGGGCCAAGGGGGCTCGGCTCCTTCCTGTCTGCGGGTCTTCTGATTCAACTACGACAGGCTGCACCCCGATGTCCCGGCACCCCTCCCTACTCTGTGCTCCTCACCTTCGGCCCCGGAGGCGGCGCTGGCCTTGCGACCTTGGGATCCAGATGTGTCGTAGTTCCTCCGGGCGTCCTTACTGCTTTGCTTCCGTCTCTTTTCAGATCCTCGCCCCCGAGACCGGCTGCGGCTTCTCGAGCGCTTGCGAGAGCCGACGTGAGACATAGTGCTGCGACCTGAAAACGGGACGGGACGCGCTGGCTCAGCGACGCCCCGTACCCAGACCGCAGAGTGGGCGCCCGGGGCAGCGCCAAGGTGCCAGCCTTCGGGACCCCGAGTACCCATCACCGCCCCGATTACCGGGCGATCCTCTTCCACTCCTGCCCTCGAAGATCCCAACTTCTCAGCCAACCCCAAGTCCCTGCGCAGCTGCTCCTTTAAAGGGCCCGCCCCCGCCCGGACGCCACGCGCCTGCGCGCCCGCTCGGTGCCTGCGCACGGACCGTCTTCTTCTAGCGGGAGAAATCTCCGAGCCCTGTCCAAGCCCGGACTCTTGCGCCCTTCTGCGTCCTCGTGGGCCTCAAGCAGTTCCACAATGTTGTGCACTGCCTCAACCGCCCGTCGAGCCAGCTAGCCAGCAACACACCACGCCTTCACGTGAGGAAGGGGCGCCGAGAGATCATTTCCGGCCCGCCTCACGGTGCTCCGGGAGGCCGTCCGGGTGGCTCGCCAAGAGCTGCTGCCTTCAGTTCCGCCGCGGGTTCCGACGCCCACGCACCCTCCTCCTGCAGAGGCTCGCGGGCCGAGTCGCCGCCCGCCCGCAGCTTCGCAATGGGAGAAGGCAGCGCTGTCAGCCCAGAGCCGACCCTCGAGCTCGCAGGCAGACCCCTCTTCCACGGTTGTGCCCCGCCCCGCCGTCATTCCCTAATACCCAGCTTTCCTCCCAAGCTGGTTTCCGACTTGGGGAGCTCCGGGTTGAGACGCCCAATTCATCCTGACATCACCCAGTAATCGAGGTCGTAAACCCTGGTGTCGCCGCCGAGGGGCCAGAAGCAACAGACCACAAGGCTGCCTGAGTCTTCAAATGTATAACCCAAAAGGCTGCGTGTGCCTCGTCCATTTTGGGACCTTCCCTCCCACCCCTCCCACCCCGTTGTAAACTATTCAATGCTCAGAGCAGCAAACACAGAAGGTGCTGACAAAGCGCTTTATAAGCACCAACTGGATCCTCATGACAGCCCCCAGGGCATGCACAGGCCCAAGGCCACCCACAGCCTAACAGCTGGAAGCAACAGAACCAGGGCAGTGGCTCTAGTCCCTGTTCTTCAGCCCTCTCCTCCCCTCAGGGTTCCCGCTTGATGAAGCACACATCAGCTCTGTGCTGAGCCAGTCTATCTGCCAAAGAATGACCCAGAAGCCAGTGAGCCTTGCTGACCCCACAAGCACCATGGCTGCGGGGACTAGGGAATTTATTGTGCCCCTCCTAGTGACGCTGGAGGGCCAAGCCAGGCTCAGGTCAGCGCACACACGTCGACCGTGGGGGCATCCTCCCGGGTGAAGCCGTCGCCAAAGCCCTCGTCATCCACCAGGTCCGGCTTACGGCAGCACATGGGGCAGAGGCGGTTGCGCACAGCAGAGGCCCGGAGCCAGATGACAAGGTTCCAGCGCTCACCAGTGTTCAGGGCTCGAGCCCCATGCAGCTGGCCACCCCGGTGCAGGACACCCCGGCCCACCATGTGCTCCACCTCCAGCGGCTGCGTCAGGGCTGGGGGTGCCTGCACACAGCAGGGCTCAGGCCTGGCGCCCTCGGGTGAGCTGCTCCCATCCCTGCCCCACAGGGCTGACACTCACCTGAAAGAAGCCCCCGAAGTATAAGGCGCCCCCGGTGAAGGCCTTGCCCAGGGCCACGTTAAGCGTGAGCTCGGCATTATCGTAGTGGCAGCCCAGCTCCCGATCCTGACCTGGCGCATATTTGACCACGAAGGCTCGATGGCTGTCCAACCGCGCCCCACCACAGTCTGGGTACAGCAGCCCCATCAGGGGCCGGAGGAAGCGCTCCCTCAGTGGGGTCACCAGCGGCTCATCCAGGCCTAGCTCATGCAGCAGCACCTGGGAGGGGCCCCTGGGGTCAGCAGAGAGGCCTCTGGGACCTCACCCTGCAGGCCTGAGGATGTTTCTTCCTAGAGATACTGCCTAGGGCTCACCTTTGTGGCACCCCCATCTCCCTGCCCCATTCCACGGGCACTTGGCACAGGCTGCACCCACCCCATGGTTGTTCATGGTGTTGGGCCTTCCCTTGGGCATGTCCGACTGTTCAAAGTGCTCCAGCTCCTCCAGCAGGGCCTGGCAGAAGGCTGCCGTGAACACGGGCACACGGTAGATGCGCTTCTCCTCTGGGATAGGACGGGACAGGACAGATAGTGGCTGGGAGCTCCTTCAGGCTCCTCAAGAGCTGCCTCCACTTTCCACTCACTGGGCCCACAAAGCAGGCCCTTACCTCTTCCTGCATGGCTCCTCCCTGTTCCTGGTAGATCGGTTTCACTGGCCCTTCCTAGTGCTGCTGGTTTGGTTTGGTTTGTTTTGTTTTGTCTTTTGACAGAGTCTCACTATGCAGTTCAAAATGGCCCTGAGCTCACTTTGTAGCCCAGGCTGGTCTCAAACTCTCAGGGCTCCCTCTGCCTCAGCCTCTGCAGATCACAGGTGTGCGCCACCTTGCCCAGGCCCCTGGTTTGGTTTTTGAAGGTAAACATAACAAATCTCCCAGGCCCAGGCGTCTCCAGCTGCACTCCCAAATCCTGCTGGGGTGCGGGGCTGTGACCTCACCTGACACTGTCTCCAGGCGCTGGAGGAGACCCTTGAGGTTTGCACCCTGGGATGCGCTGTACTGGACTGCGGCCAGAAACTCAGGCGCCAAAGCTGCATCCTGGGGAGGACACGCCAGCTGCAGGGGCCCGAACACCCCTCTCCTTCCGGGAACCAGCCCCGGGCTCCCAGTCGGGTACCTGCAGGGTACTGTAGATGTTGGGCCGTGCTGGGCTGTAGGAGCTCGCAATGAGGGTTTTCCTGGCAGCCGACTCCTGCCCCAGCCGCTGCCTCCGCTCCACTTCCTGCTCAAGCTGGGGTGGCACAGAGCTCAGTCACCATGCAGGGCCTCCAATTCCCCTGAAGCCCACTGATGAAGAAAGCAAGGCCTGGGAAGGCCACAGTGGCATGCAGGCTGGGACCCCTACATTCCTGAATCTACTGGAGTCAAATGCAGAGTCAAACTTTTAGTTGACTTTTAAAAGCTGAGCTACATTACCTACCCTTTTTTCTTTTCGAGACCCTCCTGCCTCAGCCTCCCAGAGTAGTTCCAGCAAGGGACTTGGAGGGGGGCATCCCACTCTGGGCTGCTCCAACCCTAGCCTGGGTGGGATGAGAGGGAGGAAACAGGGTCCAGCCAGGCCCTGGTTGGGGAGGTGGTGGGAGGTGAGGAGCAGCAGCCCTGGCCCCAGCCTCAGAGGCCACAGGAGTGTAGGGCCCAAGGTTCAGATCTCAACCCTACCCACTCTGAGGCCTGCCTCTCTTACACTGTGGTCAGGGGGGCCCCCCACACACAACTTATCCTTTCCCTCTTTCTCATCTCTTAAGCCAGGACCCAGGAGTAGAGGTGAGTGGGAGCAGGCCAGGGAACACTTCAGGGACTGGGGCGGGAGACGCTGCAGTCCACTGACGCACTTCCAGGCAGGGCTGGGGCGAGGACAGGAGCATCACCTCCGCCAAGAGCTGCTGGAAGTCCTCGGTGCTGACACAGCCGCGGCTGCGCAGGATCTGAGGGAAGACAGACCAGTGAGTGTGACCGTGTGGTCTTAAGCAAGCCCCTCGCTTTCTCCGAGGGTCCATTTCCCCTCCTTCAAATGGAGATGTCAGCCAGGGGGTTCCATCGAGGGGACCTTAGGCACAGAGCAGGGTTCCCAGTGGCCAGCAACACCGACAGCGCACCCTACACGTGCGTTTGCCCACTCCTTCCTCGCGACAACTCACGGCGGAGAGGCTAACCACGGCTTTAAGATGGGGAAACCGAGGCACGGGGTGGGTGGGGGAGTCCTCGTATCTGCGCACGCAATCTCGGGCACAATCCGTCGTTCATCCTCTGCCCACTTCTGCCGAGAGCCAGCGGGGTCACTCACGGGGCCGTAGTCCCGGCGCAGCTGCCGCTCGTCCCGGAAGCGCAGGTGCAGCCCGTAGCGCGCCACGTACAGATTCTCGGAGCAAAAGCAGGCGCAGCGGCAGAAGCGGCGCGGGGCCGCGGCCGTAGCCATGGTGAAGCTCCACGCGCCCCTTCCAGGTTTCTTAGGGGCACTTCCGGGTGCGCCCCCAGTCGGGAGTGGGGTGGAGCCAGCGCCCAAGGGACCGTCCTAAATTCCCAAGAGCACCGAAGAAAGGTGTGGGCCGGCGGCCCCGATGGTCGGCCTCATCGATCTTCCACCGCGGGGCACTTTGTAGGAAGGTGAGCTCAAAATCAAAACCTCGTAGGGAGTGGAGAGGTAGCGACTCAGACCCACAAGGACTTTTTTTTTTTTTTTTTTTTGTTTTTAATTTTATTTATTTATTTATTTAGTGTGTGCGGTACCAAGGATTGAACTCAGGACCTTGAGCTTGCCAGGTAAACGCTTATTCTACTGAGCTATCTCCCCAGCCCTAGCCTTTGGTTTTCAACGTTGTTCCCTCCTCCGCTAGGAACTTTCGGAAAGCCACCTGACCTCTCGAGGAAGCCAGGACAGTTCCGAGGTCCGACCTTGCCCCAGTCTGAGCTCGAGGGTAGCCTTTACTCCGGGCGCGCGCTTCCTCCAAAGTCGCGGCTTACACGGCGCCTCCGCGAAAACGCTCCGGCCGGCGCGACTTCCGGCGGAACCCCGAAGGACCCGGCGTGGGCGGGGCCCGGGGCGCGGCCTGGCGGGTGGCCCCTCCCCGCGTCTGGACCCCGAGCGCGGCCGCGGCGTGAGCTGCGTACTGCGCGGCGCCTTGCAGGGTGACCGTGCGGTGGGTCCGCGTCATTTCCCCGCACGGCCCCCAAGCCCAGCCCTGCAAAGCCCCGTCGCTCGGGAGGACTGGGGCGCTCAGTAGGAATCGGTGTCCGGGTTCCTGCCCGGGAGACCCGCCGAGGCTCCGCGCGGGCCGGCGGGTGGAAGCCTTTGCCCCAGGTGGGCGAGCGAGTGGCAGCTCCTCCTCCGTCCGGCCCTGCGTTCTCCCGCCACCTCGGCCCCTCTCCTTCGTACAGCAAACCCCTGAGCTAGGCGCTAACCTGTCAGCACGTCACCTACCGGGGGGGAAACTGAGGCTCGCCACACAGCTGGTGTCTGCCCTCGGAATCACCTCCCCGCGCTCTCCCCTTCCCACCCCAGGGAGCTTGAGGAGTGGGAGCTCGCCAACCGTGTTGTCCTTCCCGCCGCGAGCCCTGCCGGGCTTGGGCCCACGCGGTCCAGCTCCAGCGCCCGCGCACACCGCACACGCGTGCTCCCAGGCATCCTCGCACGCTCGCGGCGGCCCGTGCACCGCCACGCGCAGCCCCTCGCACTCACATCCCACATCCGGCAGCACAAGGCACCTCCGCGCAGCCTGTACGCAACAGCCACGCGTGGAAAGCTTGGCCCTGATTCCTTGCTCTACAGTAAGCCCAGCGCCCAGCGCCCAGCCACCACTGTGGCCTCAGAGGCGCAGGGAGCACCCTGGCGTCCTGTGGTGCGGAACCTGACCCTCTTCACCTGTCTCTGCCAGGTAGCAGAGCGGGCCCTGGCCCTGGCACCACAGGGAGATCCGTAGCCAGTTATGTTGTCAGGGAGACCTGAGCTGTGTCTGCTCTGAGCGTGCAGGGCATGCACCTGCGAGTTAGGGGGTGTTTCTGGAGTTTTGGACAAGCTTCCTGCCTATATTAGCTTACAGTTTGGAATTACCACAGACTGGTGGCCAGAAGTTGTGGCCAGTCTCTGGTGCCATCTGCGTGGCCTCTGTGTGGCTGAGCATACTTGCAGTAGACTTAGGTCAGGCCTGCCTGGGTAATCAAAGGCAGTCTTTTTTCCTTTTTTTTTTTTTTTTTCTTTTTTTTCTTTTTTAGGTACCAGGGATTGAACTCAGGACCCTGCTGAGCTATCTCCCCGGCCCTCAAAGGCAGTCTCTTTCGGGATCATTACCTTGATTCCATCTGCAAAGACCCTTCTCCAACTAAGGTCACGTTCACAGCTTCCAGCTGCCTGGGGCATGGTTTCATTCTCTGTGGTCCTTAGGAAGTGTAGAAGACAGAATAAGAAGGAAAACAAATGCGTGATCGAGCTTGCCCACTCCCTGCAAGTGCCTGGAAGACAGACTGGGAGATGGAGCGATGCCAGGGTGGCTGAGACATTCAGCCGAGCTCTCCCTGCTGCAGCAGGTCTTCCGGGAACGGGTTCTAGGCTGGGAAGCTGACAGTGCGACAGCTCTGGGGTGTCCATCAGCTTGGCTTGCTTAAAGAACAAAGTCAAAGCAATGAGAATGCCCCCCAGTACATTTACCAGTATGGGCGAGTATCAGAAACATGGAGCAAAAGGAGCCAGATGTGAAGGAGCATATTCTGTATATAATTACATTTATCTGTGTCTAATAGGCCAAAGTGATTCATGGTGTGAGAAGGTTGCTTAGTGGTTATCCCTGGGGATAAGGTTAAAAAAAAAAAGAACAGAGAATTGTTCAGGGAGCCAAAATCTGGGGAATGAGCACCCAGTGGGGTTGGCACTGAATCCTTGTGTAAGGAGGCTCTATCTAATGTTTTGAATTTTAAGGCCCGGCCAAATAGCTCAGCAGATTAAGCACCTGCAAGCAGGTGCAGGGGCCAGGTGTTCAATCCCCTGGCCTGCCATGCCAGCCCCACCCCCAGGGCACACTGAGACAGCAAATGACACTGAGAGTGGAGGTGTGTGCCTGTAATTCCGGCTCTTGGGAGGCCGTAAACAGGCGCATCACTAAGAATCCGGTCTAGTAGTGAGACCCTGAACACCCTGTAAACCCTTCCCTAAAATACATTAAAAAAAAAAGTGGGGGACCAGGGTGGTAGCTTAGTAGAATAAGTGCCTGCTTGGCAAGTGCAGGGTCCTGAGTTCAATCCTCGGTACTGCAAAAATAAATAAGTAAGTGAATTTTACTCTATGTGCAGAGAAAATCTGTTTAAACTTCACAGCAGGGCCGGGGAGTTGGCTCAGTGGAATAAGTGCTTTCCTGGCAAGTGCAAGGGTCTAAGTTCAATCCCTGGTTCTGCGGAAAAAAAAAACAACTTCACAGCAAACACTGAGAAAATGAGGGCCAGAGAGGTTGACTGCTCCACCCGAGATTGCACAGCTCCTAAGTGGGATAGTCTGGAATTAAAACAAATCTGATGACTAGGTTGCCCCTTGAGGAGCAACCAGGTCTTCATCAGTGTCCCCTGTCCTCAGAGGGCTAGGGGGGCCCAGGAACCCAGCCTGGACCTCCTGACTGTGAGCAGCTCGCGTCCTCCCAGAAGCTGCTGCCCAGCTAAGACTGTTTAAAGTTTCATTGTTGTCTCGATTGCCCCAAGATAGTGAAGGACTTGCTGTCTCAGAAAGGCTCCCCTCCCCAGCTCACTGTTCGTCCCCTCACCAGCTGTCTTCCCCTGAGACCTGCTGTGGGCACACTAGCCAGGCCCCGTCACCCACTACCGACCCAGCTGGATGTCTCTCTTTCCTGGGGTGCACCGTTCATCAGGGTGCTCGTGCCACCTCTGGGAGCACTGTTCCTGCCACAGCTGGCCTGGTTCAGGCACCCGAGAGACAGCAGCAAACCAGTTAACAGAGCTGGCACGCCTATAATCTCAGCACTCGGGAGGCTGAGGCAGAGTATGTCTGCAAGTTTTGAGACCAGCCTGGGGTACATACTAAGCTCAAGCCAGCCCCTGGACTATATAGCAAGACCCAGCTGGGTGTGGCAGAGCGAGCCTGTCGGCAGGCTGAGGCAGGAGGATCGTTGCAAGTTCAAGACTAGGCTAGGAGGCCAGCAAGATAGCTCAGTGGACTAAAGCACCTGCTTAGGCAAGCGCAGGGACCATGGTGTGTCCCTAGGGAGGGCTGAGCCGGCTACAGTCCAGGCATAGTGGCCTACGCCTGTAATCCCAGCGCTGGGGAGACTTAAAACAGGAGGATCACTATGAGTCTGAGCTGTGTAGTGAGACCCTGTAACAATCAAATACATTAAAAAAAAAAAAAAATAGCCTGGGCTATAAAGTGAGCTCAAGGACAGCCTGAACTGCATAGCAAGACCCAGTTTCAAAAAGACAAAAAATTTAAAAAGCTGCAATTTAGATAATCCAAAATGCTATCTAATCCTAAAATCATCTATTAAATCTATTTGGCTTTAGAATCCAGAACACTTCAAACAAGGTAAGTTCCACCGCAAATCAAAGGTCATGAAGATGAGCGCATGCACCGAAACCCTTAAGCACACAGTGAATGATTTTTGTTGTTTTGCCTCTTTTGTGTTCTTCTGTGGTCCGAAGCCTCCTAACAGCAGCTTATCAGACAGAAGCAGGGCATCGTGCCCTTCTAGGTAACAGTGACTTGGCAGCCCATGCAGGACACCTTTGTGGCCCATATGCCTGGAACTCAGCGCTCTCTTCTAGTCCCGCCTTCAGGTCTGTGGCCTCTGCTGGGCCCTCAACGGACAGCCCCAGTGTTACTGCAAGGATCAAGCGCTGGCTCAGTACTCGCAGCATCCACAGGCTCACAGACTTCTGTGTTCTGTAAAACTGTCTCTCAGGGGCCGGGGAGATGGCTCAGTGGAGTAAGTGCTTCCCTGGCAAGCACAAGGGCCTGAGTTCAATCCCTGGTTCCGCAAAAAAAAAAAAAAAAAAAAAAAAACTGTCTCTCAGCTGGCTGATGAAGTGCCTCCTTCATCGTGCTCACGACTGAGTTTCCTTCATGGCCGGGACGTGTTCTCCATGCTTTGGCGATCCCACTTGCTGGATCATGTTCAGGCCCTGGACACCTTAGGAAATGCACCCAGCACTGTAAGTTCTATGTCGCTTCCTGGCTCTGAGGTATCTTTTTATTGCAGTTAAAACTCCCCAGCTCTTGGTTGAATCAGACGTGTGACCCTTGCTGGCAAACGTTTCACAGTTCTGCCGTCACCTGAACCCACCAGGTCTTCATTTGGATGTGCAGGGGAAGTCGGGAAGAAGCGCTGCTTTTTCTGGAAGCCCCATGGATCTCAAATGCTTCTGTACCCGTAGTGTACAAGATCTATCAAACCACTGTCGCAAAACAGGTTGCTCTCCGGATGTACCTTTTCACCTGAAATAAGTGACACGAAGATTTGGAAGATCAGTTCGCTTGAGCGCACAGGGTTTGTTTTTGGTTTTTTTGGTTTCCCCACAACACAAAGTTTGTGGAAAACTGGATCTGTGTACACAACAGCACAGCATAATGATTCTCTCTCTGCTTGACCTATTCTGGGAAGTATTTCACTCAGTGTCAGTGTCGAGAACCAATGTCCCTGACGGTAGACATTTCCAGAGCAACCCAGTTTGATCAGCATAAATTTGCTCTGGTTGTAGATTCTGTGTCTCAACAAATCCCTGAAAGTTGCCACACAATTCACTGGCAGCAGTTTCATCTCCTTTTAATTTTGTTCCTTTACCAGCAGCCATTGAAATACCGTGGTGTTGGGATGGGGAGATGGCTCAGTGGAATAAATCCTTCCTTGGCAAGTGCCAGGGCCTGAGTTCAATCCCCAGTTCTGAAAAAAGAAAAAAAAAAAGAAAGAAAGAAAGAAAAGAAATACCATGGTGCTGTTTGAATCAAATTAGCCAGCCAGGTGACACATTAAAATCACCTCCATCCCCAAAGTATCAAAAAAGAACCTTCGTCTGTGACGCAAGCGGCGGTGGCTGCGGCCATCGAGTAGTAAAGACCTCCAGCTCTCGTCCTGTGCCGCTCTGAGGGGTAGCAGGCTTGGAGGGTAGCGATGTCAGAGAAAAAGCAGCCGGGAGATTTGGGTCTCCTAGAGGAGTTCGAGGCATTCCCTGCCGAAGACTGGACTGGTGTGGATGAAGATGAAGATGCCCGTGTCTGGGAAGACAACTGGGATGGCGACAATGTCAAGGACGACTTCTCCAGCCGGCTACGAGCTGAACTAGATGGAGACATCATAACATCCGGAAGAAGAGGTGACATACCCTCAATATGAACCATATACTGAATTCTAGGACAAGGAACCCAGGATAGAATGCTTATAGAAATACGTTTATTGCATTATTTGTTTGGATTTTTTTTTTTTGTAAGAAAAAAAATGTGGTCTAATCCTGAAAAAAAAAAAAAAGCATCTTCATAGTATCCCAGAGAGGCAAAGTCACCAGCCAGGGTCACACAGCAAAGAGGACAGAGCCTGAATGTGGCACTAGGTCTTAGATATTCAAGCTTTTTAAA